AGGGCCAGGGTGGCCTCACGGTCTGGCAGTTTCTCGACATGGTGAACTCGGGCCGGTTCCTGAGAGGCATCGAGCAGGAGGCCATCAGCATGGCTGTGGAGGAGGTGTACCAGGAGGTCATCGAGAATGTGCTCAAACAGGCAAGGACCCCACATGTTCTGTGGCTCAAGCTTCATCCTGCTCTCAACCTGTTCTGATCTCTGTCTCTCGGGCACAGGGCTACCTCTGGAAAAAGGGCCAGCTGAGGAGGAACTGGTCAGAGCGGTGGTTCATGCTTAAGCCCAGTGTCCTGTCCTACTACATGAGTGAGGAACGGAAGGAGAAGAAGGGGAGCATCGCATTGGACAAGCACTGCTGCGTGGAGGTACATCCCGGACCACACTCAGCTTGGGAATAGCAGACCCTTCAGATCCCTGGAAGGGAAGACCCAAGAACACGCAATTTCACATCCATGAGCATGGGAGAGCCAGTCCTGTGGCTGAAGATGGGGGAATAAGGTGGGATACAGTGGGTAACGCTGTGCTGGGTCTTCTCCCTGCAGGTGTTGCCAGACAGGGATGGGAAGAGGTGTATGTTCTGTGTGAAGACCTTGTCCCGCACCTACGAGATGAGCGCCTCAGACACCCGGCAGCGCCAGGAGTGGACACTCGGTCCGTGCCCACCCCACACCCCTTCCCCATGCCCCCTGCATGTCCCCACTGACCATGCTGTCCCTCTCCAGCCATCCAGACTGCCATCCGGCTGCAGGCGGAGGGAAAGAAGTCCCTGCACAAGGATCTGAAGCAGAAGCGACGGGAGCAGCGGGAGCAGCGGGAGCAGCGCAAGGCAGCCAAGGAGGAGGAGACGCAACGGCTCAAGCAGCTGCAGGAGGAAAAGGAGAGGAAGCTGCAGGAGCTGGAGCTGCTCAAGGAGGCCCAGAGGCAAGCAGAGATCCTGCTGCAGGAGGAGGAGAAGCGGCGGAGGAAGCAGCACGAGGAGATGCAGAGAACCCTGGAGATCCAGCTGCAGGAGGCTGAGCAGGTGGGTACATCCCACATGAGCTGTGGTGCTCACGGGGTGCGTGCTTCCTTCTCCTTCCCTTGCCTGGGGCAGTCCAGGGGTTTGGATGTACAGTGCTGCTGCCACCCATCACCTGTGGGCTCTTTTGTGCCTGAGATCCCTTTGAGCAGGAGATGAGGACAACCTGCCTCAAGGGGCTTTAGCTGGGGACAGTGAGAGGCGAGTGCTGGTGCTGGGCTGCCAGGGAGCCCATTTCTGACCTCAGCACTGGCTCCAAATGACACAGTCTGTCTCCTGAGCAGGGAAACAGCTTTGCTTTGGACCTGTCACCATGGGCTGCTCCTGCTCTGGCCCCCTCCACCCTAAGTGGGTTCTGGGAACACTGATGGTGGCCTGGCCAACTGATGGCTCCTGTCCCTGCCACAGGCTCGTGCCTCCATGCAGGCAGAGATGGTCCTGAAGGAGGCAGAGGCAGAGCGGCAGCGCAAGCGCATCCTGGAGCTGGAGGACATGCAGGAGAGGCTCCAGGAAGCCCTGCAGCAGGAGGTGAAAGCACGGCAGGATGAGGAGGCTGTGAGATATGCGCAGGCCAGGTAGGACTAGGGCATCCCTCCCCATCCTTGTGCAACCCTCCTCTCAGGGCAGCAGCTGGGCATGGGGATGTGTTCCTCAGGGAAACTCAGTGCTCCCGGGTACTGGGATGTGCTGGTCCCAGTATGCAGGCTGGGACAGGGAAAGCTGGTGGAAGAAGTGGCAGGGGGACATCCTCACCTCTTGCTCTTCATTGTCAGGCTACTGGCTGAAGAAGAGGAAAAGCTGAAACAGCTGATGAAGCTGAAGGAGGAGCAAGAAGAATATATCATCAAAACTCAGAGGGAGAAGCAAGTGCTCAAGCAGGAAATGGAGAACAAGAACAAGTGCCTGGAAGAGGCGCAGAAGCAGCTGGAAGAAGTGAGAGTGAACAGGCAGCGGGTGGACCAAGATGTCATGGTGAGCATAACGTCTGTGCCACATCTCTTCACACGGTGAACCTAGGGGACTTTCCACCCTCCCAGAGTCACCTCCATTCTGGAGAAGACCAAGCTGGAATTGCCATGGGGCAATTTCTGAGCTGTGCCATGTGCAGGCACGGTGTGATGCAGTGGCTGAGACAGGACAAGCAAGTCCTACCCTGAGGACAAAGCTCTGGTGTCCAAAGTGATGCTGACAGTTCAAGTGTGTGAGGGGGGAGGGTTGGAGGGGGAGCAAAAGGTCTAGAGGAGGGTGAACTGGGTCTCCAGCCCAGAGGGAACCTCCAATCCAGGCTTACTCAGGGAGGGGAAATCTGTGCCCACGGTCCAGGATCAGGGGCAGTGGGGCAGCAGCTCACCCCTTTCCTCCATCCCCTGCCAGGTGGCCCAGCGGAAGCTGCGACAGGCCAGCACCAACGTCAAGCACTGGAATGTCCAGATGAATCGACTGATGCACCCCATCGGGCCAGGAGGTAGGAGACCAGCTGACCACCCTTCCTTGGACCTCCTGAGCACAGCCATGCTGGGGCATGAGCCCAGACCCCCACCCATCTTCCCCGTTCTGGGGGCATCTGGTGGCTGGAAGGACTCTCAGAGAAGATACCACAGTGCCTCCTGCAAGGAGGGACTCCACAAACTTTTTTCAGAGCCGAACACTCAGTTTGGGCCCCAGGTAAACAAATCTCTTTTTCTGTCCACCCCCAGACAAGCGAACAAATGTGAGTGGAGGAGTCTTTGCTGGCTACCAGCCCCTTCTGTCACGGAGAGATTCTTCCCTCAAACTCAAGCAGAGGCTGGAGGATAAAGGGAGTGACCCCACGAGGGAAAACAGCGAGGAAAACGTGAGCAACAGTGGGAACAGCAGCGTGTTTCCATCTCCAGATGCAGACACCATGGCCACAGAGCCCACCAATTAGCCCACCAGGATGGCAGAGCCCAGCTGGGAATGGCAGGGCTCAGCTTGTCCCTCCAAGTGGATGGTCAGTGTGGTGATCTCTGGATGGAACTAAAGTGGGGACCAGCACAGAGCCTACAGGGGACTGCATAAGGCAGAGGTTCTCCCATTTCCATCAGTAAAGGGCTACAGCCACCATGTGCCAGGAGGCTCAGGCAGCCCAGTGCTGGGGAGAGGGCAGTGGGACCTTCTCCTCTGGACTGCTGGACTCAATTCTTTGTACTCTGTTTTACATCCTGTACTAAAAAAGAGCTGCTGATGGGTCAGGACCCTGTGGCCTAAGGCTGCAGTTCCCTCTTGGTTTCTACAACAGCCCTTCTGCATCACTCACTGTGCTGCAGGGTGTGGGGGCTTGCCACCAGCCAAAGACACCTGGACTGACCAGACGGGGCCTTCTTCTCACCCCCACACCACGCCAGGTGTCCCTAACCACTGTGTTCCCTGGCAGTGATCATTAGTCCTGGAGTCACTTAGTTAGCAGAACTAACAACAATAAAGCTTTTGGAGCCACTGGCCACAGACCTCCTGCCCCACACACTAGTGGCTCTGCAGGCACCAGCCCTCTTTCCTTGGCAGTGCAGGGTTTGGATTCCCCCTGCATGAGCGCCCGCTGAAAGGAATCAGCCACAACATGTGGAAAGTGGCCCCACCAGCAGATTCTGGGTTGATGTGTGGAGGTCCAGGAAAGGCACAGAACAAAACAAAGAAGGCCCAATGGTGCCTTTGGGTGTTCATAGTCTGGAGCATAGAGCCAGGGTCACCTCCGGAACAGGCCCTGGGAGCAAGCTTGGCACCAACTCCTTCTTTGCTCCGTTGCTCAGAGGTCAGCCGAGTTCGTTAGGGAGATTATGAGACGGCGCTGCCCTCGGTCTCACAGTGTTTCTCCCCCTCCGTTTTTTTCCACCGTGGCCGAAGGGCCCGGTACAAAGCGCTCGGTGTGCCCGGGCTGCGGGGCGGTCCTGGCCCGCTCCCACTCGGCCGTGCTGACGCACAGCGGGGGCACGGGCAGCGCAGGGGCCGCGGGTCAAATGCACCGCCTCTCCCACTTCCCTCTGCGCTGGAACGCAGCGGGGTGGCCCTGAGCCGTCCCCTGTGGGCTCCCTGCCTGCTCCGCACCCTGCCAACCAGGCCACTTAGACACAGCATCCCGCCACACTAAACGGGTTTTCTGGGCAGACTGAGCCCTTCCCAGCTCTGCCCCGAGCCTGGCCAATTGTTTTCTATCGAGGCGCGAGGGGGCCGCGGTGCGAACTGTTGGGGGCGAAGGGGGTCACTGGCGCTGCTCGGGCTCCTCCGGCGCGGAAGCAACTGCGCTGGCCCGACGCCGCCGCCGTATTGCACCGCCCGCAGGACGCCCCGCCCCTAATGGGGCCCCGCCCAGGAACACTCCGCCCCCAGAGTACAGCGCAGGCAGCGCCTACACTTCCCCTGAGGCCCCGCTCCCGGAGCGGGGTGCAGTGCGGGCGGCTCCCGGCAGGGGGCGGTACGGCGTGGAGGGGCGGGGCCATTGTCGTGGTGACGCGGGCGCGAGGCCCCCCCCGGCGGAGGCGGTGATTGGCCGCGCGCGCGCGTGGGGTGCGGTGGCGTCAGGGCGTGCGCGGTGACGCGGGGGGGCCGGGGGTGGGGGGGCGGCAGCAAGAGTGGGGCTGCGCGCGAGGTGAGCGGGGCCGGGGAGAGCGTGGGGGACGGGGGGCGTGAGGGACGGGGGACGTGAGGGGCAGGGCAGGTGAGGGGCAGGGCATGTGGGGGACGGGGAGTGCGAGGGAGAGGGGCTGTGAGGGGCGTGGGGTGTGACAGGGTTGAGGCAGGGGGTGTGTGTGAGGGACAAGGGTTGGTGCAAAGGGGACATGGGTGTGAAGAGCTGGGGCGTGAGGGGCATCAGTGACTTTACACTATAGTTCCTTTTGGGAATTCGGGGAGACTGAGGACGGGACATGGCGCACACGGGAGGAGGCTCAGGGGGACAGTGTGCCTTTCTTCTGTGCCAGGGTGGGGTGGTGGAGGGGGAATTGGCCTGGGGATTGAGGGTACCAGGCACTGTAGGAGTCTGGGGCTGGAAGGAGGAGAAGCGAGAGGGTCAGGATGGACCTTGACCAGAGCATCCGGTGAGGGGCTGCTCCCGGAGGAAGGATCTGAGAGTCCTTTCTCATCCCTCATATCTGCCCATTCCACTCCCTCCTTCCCTGAGATCTCAGATGAAGGACGTGCTTGTGGGAAGGAATCAGATGTGCTGTAGGATCCGGACAATGCCCATCATGGTGCTGCAGAAGGGTCTGCCCCATGAATCAGGGTCCCAGGGCTGGTTGTGGTGTTGGTCTCTAAAACCTGTGGTCTCTCTCAACCTGTGGGTTGAGGCAGCCCATGTCCAGTTTCTTGTTTCTGCTCTACTCTCCTCTCTTCCTGCCCTCTCCATGCAACTCCATTGTTGCCTTCAGCAGAGTATCCTCTTCTGTACAAACGTGCTCCAGGCTGAGGTGGGAGTTTTCCTGATGACTTGCCATGTGTCAGCCAGGACAGCAGAGGAAGTATCCAGGTGGGATGTGCTGGCAGGTTCCCTCCATGCCCTGCTGAGCTGGTGCAAGTGTTGCTTTATGTGTGGTGTGATGGGCATGTCCTGGCATTTAGCTGTGAGCAGGACAAGGTGAGCCAGGCATTTAGTTTCAATACTCAGATCTTTGGCAGCAGCAGCAGAGCACTCTGGTTTGCAATGAGTGAGAGCTCAGGGTGTGATTTGTGCACTCCCTGCATGTGATTCAGCCCTCGTTGACAGTGTCAAGGCTAATGCTGTGTTACTGAATTGTGATGAGCTTTATTGCTGGTGGAGGTGGAGAAAGACACCTCCTGATGTGCCAGTGGGGCTGGAATGACTTTAGTATTGTTCTTTGTCAGAGAGATTAAAGCAAAACTTTGTCGGGATTGTTTAGAAAAACTGTCTTCCATGTTGGGGGAGAAGGGATCAGAAACCTGCTCTGCTGTGAAAGTGAAGCTCCTGAGGGTGGTTTTGTGGCCCCACTGAGACAAAGGCTGGTGTTGGATCCACACTTGGCAGAGCTCTGGGCTGTCCTCAGCCCCCACCTCTAAACAAGGGCAGTCACTGCCTTCAAGAAGATGTGACTTTGACATCACTGATTGGGAAATCCTGATGTGATTGATGCGCCAGTGCAAGGGACTTTGGTCGTATTTTTGGATCTCACACTTGTCACCACCTCTGGATGTGCCTTGATCCTGTAGGGAACACCCTCCACACTGAGGCCACTGGGATCCTCAGCTTTTAAGGCAGGGGGTTCATGTTCTTTTTTCATCTCTCCTGAGCAGCTGCCACTGCCATGTCAGACCTGGAAGGATGTGCTGCACTGAGGGTTCACTCTCAGCACAGCACTCACAGGTTGCTGCCAAGCTGTCTGGCCTGGTAGGCACTGGTGATGCTGGTTTGTTGCTGATTTTTTGCTGGTTTATTTCTGGTCCTCAGCTGCCTCACAAGTTGTCCCATGTCTGGGGCAGCAATACAAAACAGGGCTTTTCTGTCGGAGTGGGAGGAGCAGCTAAGCCTGGGTAATGTCAAGGAGGGTATGTGGGTGCAAATAGCATCATGTTCACAACATCTTTGTTTAATGTTTTAGTCCACTTAGTCTGCATGACTGTCTAAAAATAGGACATATTTTCTCTAAGTCCTCTAGTTCGAAGCCTCATAAGCCAGTTTTTTTCTGACATTATTCTCTTCCTTTTCTTTTGAGCCTGAAATTCATACAAGACAAAGTTATCAGGAAAACTAAGAGTGAATGAACTCTGTTGAATCCTTAAGTTTCAGCCGCCCAAGAGGAAGTTCAATAAAGTTGCAGGAACTTTCTGGCAGCCTCTTGAAGGTAGATTCAGCAAGCTGAATAACCAAGCAGCCTTGTGGCCACCATTGACATTTTTCTAGCATCGACTTTGTGCATTGCCATAGGAGCTCAGGGTCACCAGCCTCTGGCTGCAGGTGACTTAAGGCAAAGGTGACATCTGTGGTGAGGGGATGGGGCTGTCTCTGCTGGGACACCCCACAGTTTGCTCTGCCTCCTGGTCTTAGGACAGATGCTGCCTGTGGCAGCGGCCTCCTGGAGTCACCCTGACCCAGGTGTGAAAGAGGGAGTGTGTTTAAATTTCAGGGCTGCTGCTGGACCCAGCCCAGTGCTCCAAACGGCATAAATATCTGGCCTTCAGCACAGCCGTGGAAACTTGCTCTCTGTCCTCCTGCAGATTGCTCCAGGTCTTGGCTGTCCGTGCTGACATGGTGACCGAGCGGTGGCTTTTGGCAGCAGGCAGACGGGGACAGCTGCTCCGCAGAGGTAACCCTTCCCCTTTGCATGCAGGCCACTGACCCAGGCACTTAGCAGTGTTCCTAAAAACTTGGGGTAGGGAAGAACCTGAGAAGACCAGTTTGCTTCCAGCAAGTTTCCCTTTGTCTATAAGCTTGAATTTTCTTAAATTTAATTTTAAATTTAAACTCCATACCTTATTTTTGTTCAGTTTCTGAATATGATCTTACGGATTACTTTAGGAATACATTGTGAGGACCATGGTCTAATCCTGTTCTCCTCATCTGGCTCTTGCTGTCAAAGCATAGTGACATAACATTCCATTATTTCACTGATGTTTATTACTGAAATTGGCTCTTGTAGGTGAGGGAGGGCACATGAGATCCAGGGCTGCATGTGGGTAATCAATCACCCAACAATCCCACACACGACCTGGCAGCAGTGCTGGTGCTGTCTGTCGGTGTCAGACAAAGCTGAGCAGGTCGTGGCAGAGGCAGGACAGGGGTTTGGAGGTGGTCAGCAGGGCCATGGGTGGGCACTGTCCTCCCCACAGACCTCTGAAGTGATTCCTGGAATGAGCGCTGCTGAGGCTGTCTGCACGTGGCTGTGGGTGTGTGTTTGCCTGACACAGGTCTGAGGTGTTGAGCTGTTGTGGGTTCTGTGTCAGATTGGCACAGTGGTTGCACTATCTCTGTTCTGGTATTCAAGACAGAGACTTCCAAGGATCTTCACAGCGTGTGGAGAGGATTTTTATAATGAGCCCCATGAGGCTTTGCTGATCAGAAGATCTGTACTGTTTTACAGAATTGCTTTCTGGTGTTGATGGGCTCTGTCTTTCTTGCGTGATGCCTTTTGGAAAATACATATTTTTGTACAGTACATCTTGTTGCTCTTTGGGGAGTATTTTATCTGTGGCTTTGAATTATGGACTGGAAATCGGCAAATGTTCTTGAAGACTGAAGGATTGGCACAAGAGACTCTTGGGGTTCTCTGAACAACAGAACCTGACATACAAATGATGTTTTAATTGGGTGAGATGATGTTACAGTGCTTATGCCTGAAAGGTTATTTGCTGTCAGAGCCCAGCTTGGCTTGCCCTGACAATGATATTTTAGATGTCAGGGGTTTTGTGGTTTGTACTGGCTCTTTTGCTTAGAGCAGGAACAAACTGATAACCACAGATTCGTTGGGCTGTGTTGCTGCTTCTCATCAGGTGCTGCAAAGTAATCTCTGCTTTTTCCAGAAGTGCCTCTGTTCAGAGATGCACTGCTGCAGTAATTTTGGAGACTCTGGGAAAGTCTGGACAAGCAGAAGTGATTTCCGTAGTGAGGATAAGTAAGATTTTTCTGTAGAACTAGTTTTACTTTTTTGTTAATACTCTGAAATATGCTTGCCTTGGCAGAATGCCTGGGAAATTTCCCAAAGCATGATTTAGAGTGGAATGATTGATGCCAGTATGAATCCTTTTGGTCAAGGAGATTGTGAAGTGCATCTTCCCCAAAATATATGTTTTGGGATGTTGTTCGCTAGAGCCCTGCTTGATTGCAGGAAGGGTTCAGAGCAGAACTGACTCAAGATGTATATTAGTTTTCTTATGACTTCTTGAAATGCTTTAATCACTTTCAGTCGTAGCGTCTGGAAAATGTCTGTGTTCTCCAAGACTTAGCCAAGAGCTTACAAACATCTGGGATCATTTTGGTCAGGTCTATTTGGCTTTGCAAAGGGCTCTGAAATGCATGTGTATGTTGGGGTGCTTTCCTGGGGACCTCACAGACAAGCTCTGCTTAGAGTTTTGAGTTTTAGGGAGTCTGTTTTGCAGGGGAAGCCTGACCATGGAGGAGGAAGTGACAGGTTGAAAACACAAGCCAGAAACACAAGCGTTTGTTATGTTGCTGGGTCAAGCCAGAACCCATCTCTGGGGCTGGGGCATAGCCACAGCCTGCTAACCTCTGTGTTATCCAAAGCTCTTGCCATCATGTTGCATTTCCTGATTTGCCATGGTCTGGGAACTGGAACTTGAAAACAAACCAGAACATGCATGTTCAACCCTTAACAGATATGTGGGTTGGAGACAGAGAATGGTTTTGGTGATTTGAAAGGGCAAGATGAGCTGATAGGGAAGAATTTCTTTGATGGGCTGTTAAGACTTCAGTGTGAAACACATGCCAATCTCATTAGGACTGGCTTTGTCAGGCCCTTCCTGGCAGGGGTTGTGTGAGATGGCTTCAAAATGAGCAATGCTTTGTGCAGTCATTTTGTTGATGGGAACCTAAGCTCAAATCCCTTATCCTGCCTGACATGTTACAAGCATTTTTCAGTGGAACTCTGATTTCATCATAATGCAATCTGGGATATTTCTAAAAATGCCCAAATCAGCTTTTCACCTTAAAGTTGTTTATATTGATTCTGCTAGAAATGTTGGCTCTTGAAAGCTGTTAACCCCACGAGGGCTGGTGGTTCGAAACCCACGTCTCTGAAAATATCCATGGGTTCTCATGTCAGTGGGGTAGAACTTGTGTTGTGGTACTTAGGGACATGATGATCTCTGGAAAAGGGTTATTGGTGAGTATGAACTCGAGGAGTCTGCTGAGCTGCCAGCAGCTGGCTGCGTCAGGAAGCAGTAGCTGTTGGCTGGCTGTGAGCTCTGTGGCTCGCCCTGTACCCCCAAGATAGTGCCAAAGGCATGAGGATGTTATGAAGGGTGAGAATGCTTTGCTCAAGCATTTTGTTTTCTGGGGGCTGAGGCAGAAATCCAAATGGTCAGAGCGCACTGTGAGTCTTGGCAGGATCACACTGACATGGTCGCTGCTCCTTTCCCCGCTGAAAAGGCTGCGGAATCTTTGTTGTGCATGCATCTATTGCTGTGTGAATGTGGCCAAAAATAGCAAGGAAACAGCATTTGTATCTAGTTCCTTGAGAGGGTGTTGTACTAGTTTGTGTAGAAAAGTGATTCCATTTTTCTCTGGAGATTTTCTTGCAGAGATGTGTGCAGTGAGACTGGGACCCCTCTGTTTTCCTGCTCTGTGGCTGGAGGGGAGCTGCAGCAGACACAGCAGTCTCCTTGAGCCATCTTGCTGCGCATGTTCCTGGCCCAGCTGAATCATCAGAACTTGTGCCTGGGCACAATTGCTCTCTGTCAGCTGCATCCTGGGATCAGAGCGGCATGGCTGGTGCCCAGGACATTTTGCTAAAGTCTACAAAACCAAGTAGTACTTTTCTGGGAGTCCGAGTGTAAACATAACAAAACTTACAGACTGATGGATTGATTTTTTTTCTGGTTAGTCCATGGTATCTAAAATCTGTTGCTGCAAAGAGGAGGAGGCTTGCTATTGGTTTTCTGAGCATTTTCCTGCATCTGGGAGCACTGCCAATGTAGCAATAAAAGCTACCTGTTGGATGTTTGGCTCCAGACAGAAGGCTGCATGCATGTGTGATCCTAAGTGACTTATTTGCCCACTGCTGCTTTTCTGCCCCCATTGCTTTTCTGGGGAGCTGATTGTCCCTTCCAAAGTGGGGGTGGAACTTGCTGGTGTTCCAGTGACCCTGAGACTTTGAGGAAATCTAAACTGGGTGCTGGTGTGTGCAGCACTGCCAAACTTGGCCTTACTGACCGCCAGCAGTGCTCCCGTTCACAGCCACAGCTTGTTCCACTTGCCACTTTCCTGGAGTTCCATTTCAGTGCTGTTTTGAGTCCCTAACACCCTGTGCCCACTGTTTGCCTTGGGAAGTGGTGTTGCTGTTTCTGTGAGCTCCTCCCTCACCAGCCCTGTTCTATAATTACTGATGTTTCTGAAACTGGATCCTTCCATGTGTCCTGCTGAGGTTCGGGAGGACAAGGGGTCCCTAAGCAAACTGACTGCCTTGGAGTACAGCCAAGAGGACTTCAGCAGTTTGGGAAAGCATCATCTTACAGTGGTTCAGTGAATTCTGAGCCTCCAACCTCCTCACCTTTGGGATGCTAAAGGAAAGGAGAATATATCCCAGACAGCTTCTCTGGCGTGCAAGTGCCAGGTTTGCAGCGTGATCCCAAAGCATTGGCACAGTTTCACAGCTACCTCTGCTGTGCCCTGAGCTGTGGGGGGATGATACTCTCTTCTTGCCAGACTTAATGATCTTCTCAAATAGCAGCACTTCTGTGCCATTTCCAGCACTGAGAAGCCTCAGTGGTGTCACCTTTCCAGTACCTGCTTGTTTCCCAGCTGCTGTCCTTGTTCCGATGGGTCAGACCCACGTGCCCCTCCTGGCCATGGGTACTTTGGGCTGTCCTGAATTGACTGCTAGACACAAATACCAGTCAGCAGCTGGCAGAATGAGATGTGCCAGTTTACTTCTTGAAAGTCGTCCTGGAAATGCCTTGTACAGGAATGTACAAGAGGAGAAGATAGTCATAAGCAGTGCAGGGAGCTGACTTGGGGCTGAGCAGACCAGACCTGTGAGTGTGACTGCAAACAGGTGTCAAAAGCCGTGATACAGGAATAAACAATGACACTTCGCACTGATCTATTTCTCTGCACTTCCAAAACATGCTGTGTCCATGAGCTAATGCAGCCAGGGAAAGATCAGGAAGGAAGCACTGTAAAAATCCTGGGTTTGTTTCTTTGTGGTGGGTTTTGGTTGGGGGTATTTTGTGATCAAGGAAATGGAAGTAGAGGACTGAACCAGACTTGCTGAAGGTCATGGAGTAGCACTTCAAGTAAGAGCTAACAACTGCATAGCTCTTCCCTGGCTGCCCTGCTGCTGCTGCTCTTCTGCCAGCATCAGCCACAGAGCCTGATTAGGGCAGGGAGTCCCTCTGCTGGGAAGCTGTTGAGGGATGATTCCTCTGTCTTCCTGTATCTGCCATCTCAAGATTTTGGAGCACATCTCATGCATTCAGCAGCTGCTGGAGCCAAGGACATCTGCAGCTCCTGGAGAGCGAGCAGCCTAGCAGACCCTGCTTTGTGCATGGCTGAGAGTTCAGTGCCCAAAGTCTGCTTTTTTTGGTGTCTGTAACACCTCTTGCACTCTGAACAAAGCAAGCAGCAAGTTCCTTTTGGAGCAAATGTCATGACCTAGTTTTGGGGACAGCATCAATCATGGTACAAAAAGAGAAGAATCCGGCAAGTTTTGTAACCTTTTCAATGAGCTGGGTTTTTTTCCCCCCCTCAATGATCAGGAAGTGGGTGAGTTAAAACATGCAATAGATGTGTGATTCATTTTGGCAGCATCCAGGCTGCTCAGGGCAGCTAAGGGAATCTCCTGCACCCTGTGTCACAAGTCCCTGAGTAATTAGCAGCAGCTAATGGTCATGGAAGCTCTGGCAGTACCCCTCTGCTTAATGAGCCCAGGTCACTCTTGGGGAAACACAGGTGGTCCACACCAAGCAGCCTTGGAGAGAGAATCACAGGATTGAACTGTGGGGCATGGTACAGCATCTAAGCAGATGCTGTTAAGGGGAAAAATCTGGCCCAGAATGTCCATCCTGGTCAGTGCTGTGTGGGAGGGCTCTTCCTTGCTAGCTGTAGTAGTTTATTTTTGTGTGTAGCCTGCCTTGCGGCCAAGACTTTGAGTAAGGGAGGAAACACTCAGCTAGTTAAGTGCTGCTGGGATCTCATTGGCTAATTTGGGGGTATGCTGATCTTCCAGGAGCAAACATAAACATGTTTTCAGTGTTTGTGTCTCCTGTTTTGTACTCTCAGTTACCTTTCCTGTATTGCAGCATCTGCTTAGCTCTTATTTGGCTTTTATTAGTAGTAGCTGGTGTGTAGGAGGAGGAACAGAAACTTGAAAACTCAGAAACTTCCTGAGGAAGTCTGGAAAAGGTGGTCAGCCAGCAGCAATCACATCTCCTTTATGGATTCAGGTCAGTTTCGATTGTGGATTCAAAATGTGCTGCACATCAAAGTGCTGCCCTATGGAGGGCTGAGTTCTTACCTCACCCCTTCTGCTTCTTTTGGCTGTGAATTTGGTGGACATTTTTGTCCAGAGGAATAAACAGAAGTGAGGAGCACTCCCATGGTATATTGGTTTCCTTTTGCCATTCCTTATACCTCTTTTATAGTACAGTTGTATTGAACAACTGCTTTGAGCAGATCTTGGGAGAGCTGGATCTTTTTTTGGAGCTTGGCTCCAGGGTCTACGTGCTAATCAGCAGGATTGGCTGCCAGGGGAACTGCCAACCACAGCTGTTGGTTGATGAACTGGAGACTTGGATCTTGGTCAGCTCAGAAGTACTACCTTCTTGCAGGGAATCCACTGTGAAGGTTTATCTTCTTTTAACTTTTATTCCTGTTTTTTAACTCTCATGGTTGTGCCACGTCTCTCTCCCTGTTCCCACTCATGGTTTAGCCTGGCGTAGATGCCAGCTTCTAGGAAAGACAAACCTGTTGCCCAAGCTGTTTGCAGGCATCAGCCCAAGCGCAAGCCCAAGCCCAGAGCCAGCAAACAAACCCTCCCTGTACCAGCTGCAGAGGAAGCTGCTGGCTCAGCCAGGGTTACCAAAGCTCCTTGGAACAGGCATTGAGGCAAGGGCACAGCAAGTCATGAGATGCTTGTCCTCTTGCTCATTCCCATCCTCTGAGAAGAGAAAGTGAAACAGCTGTGCTAGATTCTCTGGATATGCTTAGGAAGAAATTCACAGTCTCCATCCTTGTTTCCATCAGTGTCCTGTGACAGCTGCTGAATGGAAAAAAAGGGGTGGGTGTCTATGGCAGGCAGAAATCTCTACCTGTCTGCAGCTGAAAGCTTGTGTGCTGTGCTCTGGCATGGGACTCAGCCAAGAGAAGGAGACCAAGTTATCCCATCTCCTTCTCTGGCAACTCAGCCACCAGATGTGGAGGCACCAAATGGCTGGAGAGGTCCTGGGGTGGAGCTGTCCTTTATCATTCCCAGTGCTGTCCCATGAAGATTGTGGGCTGCGGTGCTGGCAGGACAGGTCCCTCCTTGTGCTCAGACAGGGAGAGTTTGGACAAACCTCTGGAGAGCTCCAGCTTCCCAGGCCTCCCTGCTTCCACTGAAGGGCTTGCAGGGGAACAAAGGGGAGCATGTGAATCCTTGGTGAATCTCCACAGTCTCTGCCTGCTGTCTCAGTGCTATACCTGGCACAGGGATGAGAACTGAGGTCCCCCTCCTGCTGGAGACTCTGCCCAGCTGGTTGGCTTCTCAAGGGTCTGCACAGGCATGGCCGTGCCCAGCCCTTTACTCAGGCAGCGGCTGCCTTGGCCTTTCATCTGCCAGAGGCAGGGGCTGTAGCCTCCCATGTGAGATCAATCCTTTTTTCCAGTCCTCTCCCTCTATCCCAGTTGTTTGGAAAATGGGAAGGGCTAAAGGAGAAGCAGGTGTGCAAAGAGCTCCCACAGCTCCCCTCTGCCCAGGCTCCTGAACTCTTGGCCTGCAAGGAGATACACGAACAATATATTCAGAGCCTTCTGGTAAAAGTTTTTCTCTCTCTGGCTGTCCAGCCACTCTCAAAGGGTGGCATTCTCATCTATATCCTTTCTGTAATGCCTGTGTGCACATGAGCAGCCTTAGCTGGAGGCCCATGGAGCTGTCTGTCTGTGTCTCATCCTCTGCTTTCCCCCTCCTCACACCCATCCAAGACTGATGCCAAGCACAGTTTTGGAGTTGCTATTTTGGGTTTTGGGGAGCAAACTGCATGCCAAAAACTCACTGCTGCCCTGGGAGCACGTGGCCCCGAGTAGAGCCTGCGGATGGAAGAGAGCATGTCAGGGATGTTCCCGCATTATTCCAACATGTCCCATGAGACACCTGGGGCAAAGCAGGGAGCTCTGTCTGCAGTGGGTTTAAAGCAAGGGGCTTGTGCTGGATGCAAGGAACAAAGGGAATCTAATGAGCTGCTCATTAAGCTGCTACAGGATGGGTTTTCCACTGTAGACGAGCTTCTCCTGCCACAAGCTTCCCCCACTAACTGCTCTTCCAGGCAAAAGTGTTTCCCTGATGTTTGTGTGGTCATTTATATATAACCCTGAAAACTGTAGTTCATTACTCTCCATCTCCTATGAATAGGTTTTCCTGCCTGTCTGCCGTGTCCCACTGCATGGGATGTATGAGCAGAGGCCAAGAATAACACAGCCTCAATGGTCCCTCAGTGCTCATGTGGAGGCACAGGAAGGGAGCACCCCCTGCCTGTTCCTGCTGCCAAGGAGCCACGGGGCAGTGTGCTCACTGCTGCCACTAATGTACCTCACCTAGAAACAAAGCCACCTGTCCTGCAGTCTGAATTCCCAGTGTGGAGGGTGAAAACTAAAGCCCTCTCAGCCACAGGAGACCTAGGCTCTGGTGCAGCACCAGCTCCAGGGGTGACTTGTATCCTGGCTTTGTGACGTCTTTGTGTTTACTCTCCCACCTGCAAGTTTTGATCTGTCTCTGAGCTGCTTCCTTGCTCTTTCAGGGAGTTCTGACCTTGATGTCTTTCCAGCAGTCCAAGGAGCTGGCTGCAGCTCAAATTTGAAGTGCCAGGTGTGAGGATCTGCTGTGGGAGGGCAAACAAATCCAGGGAGTCCTGGGTCACTGCTGCCCTCCCCCAGCAAGCCCTGAGCTGTGCTGTGGGCTTGGGCATGGGGCACAGACTGTCCCAGAGCTTGGGGTTGCCATTATACAAGGCCCCTGCAAGATCCTGCATTAGTTTAATTTAGGTCTGCCAGTTGAGGCTTTCTTCATTGAACCTGAATTTCAGTGGCTTTCCTGATGGTATTTCTCCACTTAAAATTAACTCTTTTAAGGAAGTGGATGGAATTTTAAATAAGATGGGCTTGAGATCTTAATTATTCAAGGAAGAGTCAGTTTAGGAATCAAGAATCCAGCATGGTTGAGAGGTAAGTGGGAATGGCTCTGCCATAACCACTGTAGCAGTGCTGCATCGTTTGGATGGCTGGAGCTTCTCGTGGGCTCTTTGGGATGGAGTAAGGCAAAAAAGGAACGGAAGTGTGTGGGGGAGGATGGGGCCGTTCCTCCCACAGGAAGCCCAGAATTAAGACACTGGTTGGATTGTGTGGCCGTTGGGATCGCACTGCTGGACCCTGTGGCTGAGCACGGCCTGGCAGCTGCGCAGAGCAACGGCAACACGTTCAACCCTGCTCTTGGCAGAGGAGCCAAGTGAAAACAAACACAAATGCTGTAACTGGCAGCACTCTGATGGGAAGGAGTGTGAGTGCAGGGCTGACAGGAAGCCATCAGTCTTGCAGATGGCTTGTATGGGCCAGGGACTTTAGCCACTGCCTGCTGCTGCACTGAGCCTTGCTCTCCCTGTATCTTCCATCCACAGGCATGGATGATCAGGTGCGCCCTGATCAGCTGCTGCTCCCAGTCCAGGCTCTGCCATGGCTGTGCAGGGACAGAGGGTGAATCCAGCCCTACTTTGATCCTTCTGTAGGTGTTGGCTCTATCAGACCTTGGCCCTGCTGTTACCATCACATCCTAGGTCACTGGCAGCTCTGGGGGACATTGTCTGGGGTAGCATTTCTGCTATGGGACTTGTAAGCTAGGCACCCCCAGTCCCTGGGTGGCATCTGGGCTGGTTTGTGGTCTACTGGGCCTTAAAAAGAATTCTGTGAGCTTTTGCTTCCTTGACTCCTATAGAATGTTTATTCTAGAGTGCAAAAGGATCTTTAAATGGGCCCTGCTCTGTGTGTCTCGCTGGCCGAGGAGCAATCACAGAGCAGGGCTGGTGTGGTTGGTGACACTGCCCTGCTGCTGAGCTGCTCCGTGCAGGCACTCAGAGACCTCTCTCCATGTCCTGCAGGCTAGCAGGAACAGCCTGGTGGGGTCCATCTTGGATAGACGCGGATGATGCCAGAGCTATGACAGGGATTGCAGTCTTGGCACTGAGGGGTGATCAATTATGGAACAACTACAGGAGGAAGTACCTGAGGTCAAGGAAGAGGAAGAGGAAGAGGCAGTGATGGTGGCAAGTGGAGCCTCAGACCCAACTGGAGGACCAGACAGCTCGCTGCCTTCAAGCAGCTACACAGGTGAGTGGAGCCACAGGAGCTCATCCTGTGAAGCATCCAGGCACCCGCAGCCTCCAGGCAGCATGCTCAGCTGCAAGGGCAGAGGATATGGCCCTGAATGGAGTTCTGGTTTTAATCTGGAGCTGGTTTTAATCTCTACCCTTTGTTAAATAATGCTCCAAGTTATGGAGAGGTGTATTTCTTCCTCCAATGTCACTGCATGGTCATTGGCAAAAGGTTCTGGAGGGGAAATTAAAAGAACAGGCAGGTAACATTGTGCTTCAGGGCAAGGGGACTCCCAGGGTTGCTTGGGAATGCTTCCTTGGACACTTCTTGAGGTCCTCGTAGCAAAGTAATTATAGGAGGTGGGAGAGGTTTATGGATACAGAAGAGGCTCCTCCAGAGCCCTTGATGTTCCAGCTGGGATGTCCTGTGCCAGCAGCTGGCCAACCAGGGATTATAAAATCTGCTGGTTGGGGTTTCATTGCCAGGACATGAATGCCAGAGGGAAGAAAAAAACATTGATATGGAGTTTGAGCTGCTGGGGCATTCTTGGCTCTGTTCATGGCATTTGCCTGCAGCCAGTGCCAGATTCCAGATGTGATACCAGGGGCGGGCAGGACAGGGCTGGAAATCGTTCCTCAGCCCATGGCTGGAGAAGCGGGCCACACCAGGAGCTGGGCCTGTGGCTGTGACATGGAAGGACATGTTCCTGTTTGTGTTTGCAGACCTGTCACAGAGCTCCTCTCCCTCACTGTCGGACCAGCTGCAGATGGGCTGCGAGGAGGCAGCGCTGGGAGCGCTGAACGTGGAGTGCAGGGTCTGTGGAGACAAAGCTTCAGGCTTCCACTATGGCGTGCATGCCTGCGAGGGCTGCAAGGTGAGTCCAAGGGACGGCTGGGTTCAGCAGCACCTAGCAGGGGTTAGATTCCAGGGGCTGGGCTGCCTCTTCACACAAGCAGATTTGCAGCAAAACAGGGATTTGGGATTGATTGTAAAAAAACTCAACCTGTTTAGAATGGGGCAAGTATAGGCAGGCAGCAAATGCTGCCGTGGGAAGGGGGCTGAGACCTGTATGGGCCAAACCTTGCCTTGTCATGCATTACTGTGTAAGGCAAATCCATCTATCCCCATAGGGACCCTGAATCTGCTTTTAAAAATAGTTTCTGTGCTGCAGATCAGCAATGAGCTGTGTATTTATCTCCCTGGGATCACTGGCTGCAGCTTGGATGTTCCTCTGGAATTCTTTCCCCTGCAGCAGATCCAGCAGGGTTGTGTTAGCAGCCCAGGTCCTGCCAGACATTCCTGAAGGCTGGAGTTGGTCCATGGCTTGTCCCTTCATCCCTCTCTGTGGGCTGCTGGCACAGTCACAGCACCGAGCATGGGGTGTCCCCTCACTTCTTCCTCTGCAGCCCCTTTCTGCCACCATACAACCTCTCCTTGGGACAGAGACTCTGCTTGCACCAGAGACCCAGGGCTCCCCTTCTCACCCCCCTGAAGCTCCTGAGGATAACAAACCAGCCTGGTCCCAAACCATAGGCACTGCTGCTCCATGTCCCCCTGCTCCTCCCTACCTGCAGGGTTTCTTCCGCCGGACGATCCGCATGAAGCTGGAGTATGAGAAGTGTGAGAGGAGCTGCAAGATTCAGAAAAAGAATCGAAACAAGTGCCAGTACTGCCGCTTCCAGAAATGCCTCTCGTTGGGCATGTCACACAATGGTGAGTGTCACTGCTGCCCACAGGCCTGGCCAGCTGGGTGACACAGGGCTTTCTGTGAAGGGTGCCCATGGCCTGCTGTGCTTTAGCTGATGGCTCTACTTGCTAGATCATTCAAACCCAGTGCTTCAAGCATTTGACTCCTCCTTTTTCTTTATAGGAAGGGGCTGTTCATTCCCACCATGCAGTACAGCTGCTGGCACATGGCTGTCCCTTATGGATGGGCCCAGAGGGAACTGGACACACAAGTTGTTCTTCTGTGTTGGGACTTTTAGACTTCAGGTGTAAGAATCTCAGACCCAGACAAGCAGAGGTGTTTATGTGGGAAGTGTGGTTTGTGCAAGAGCCTAGAGGGGTGGGATGGGAGTCTGGTGTGAGGAAGCAGCAGTGGCTGGTCTGTGAAGATGTTAATGCTGGAGGAACTGCAGCTTGGAGAACTATAGTCATGTAGCTGCAGGTGTTCTCCAGCAGACCTGTCTGTCTGCAGTGGCAGAACAAACTGCTGCCTCTCTGGATGCATCTCCTGGAGTTCCCCTGCTGTCCTGACCCCAGTTTTGCCCCCCAGCAATCCGCTTTGGGCGCATGCCAGAGGCAGAGAAGAGGAAGCTGGTGGCAGGGCTGACAGCAAGCGAGATTGGCTGCCAGAACCCACAGGTGGCTGACCTGAAAGCTTTCTCCAAGCACATCTACAACGCCTACTTGAAGAATTTCAACATGACCAAAAAGAAGGCAAGAGGTATCCTGACCGGGAAGGCCAGCAGCACCCCAGTAAGTTCCCTCCCAGGGCAGAGGGGTTGGCCATGGCCAGCACGGCGGACTGTTTTCTGGGAGATGCTGCACATCTCCCTGCTGCCGTAGCTGTTCCACATGCACCATTCCCACCTGCAGCCAGGTGGGCTCTGTAATGTCCTGCTCCTTGCTGGGAAAAATCACATTGTTCTGCACACTTGTGCTGTGGTGGGTGGGTGCAGATTGCCTGGGCACTTCAGCCCCAGAGGCAGGGCACAGCACAGGGACAGGCAGACAGACATGACTGCCCTGGGCAGAGCTGGCACCCCCACAGCAGACTCCTAACTTGCTTCTTGTTCAAGCAGCCTTTTGTGATCCATGACATGGACACCTTGTGGCAGGCAGAGAAGGGGCTGGTGTGGAAGCAGCTGGTGAATGGCATCCCCCCCTACAAGGAGATCGGGGTGCACGTCTTCTACCGCTGCCAGTGCACCACGGTGGAGACTGTGCGGGAGCTCACCGAGTTCGCCAAGAGCATCCCCAGCTTCATAGGCCTCTACCTGAATGACCAAGTGACTCTGCTCAAGTACGGGGTGCATGAAGCCATCTTCGCCATGCTGGCCTCCATCATGAACAAGGATGGGCTGCTGGTGGCCAACGGGAATGGCTTTGTGACCCGCGAGTTCCTGCGCAGCCTGCGCAAGCCCTTCAGTGAGATCATGGAGCCCAAATTTGAGTTTGCTGTGAAGTTCAACGCGCTGGAGCTGGATGACAGCGACCTGTCCCTGTTTGTGGCTGCCATCATCCTGTGCGGAGGTGAGCGGGTGCCCTCGGCCATCCCAGAGTCAGGAAGAGTCCTCCCTACTTAGAGGTGGTTCAGAGGGCACTAGGGGAGCTGAGCTGCAGCTGGGCTTGAGGTCAGCCAGGGATCTCTCAGGGGCATGAGAGAAGAACTGAACACTTCCAAAACCAAAGCTTCTCTGTGGCGGTGATGCCTGGCAAGCTTGGACCAACAGCAAGGAATATAGAAGTGGCATCTCCTTCTTATGCTGCTGTGAGATGGCGTTGTCCAAGGGCACGCTTCTCCCCTTTCTAGCTGATGAGGATGAAGTCACGGTGGGTGGGTTATGGTCCCTGGCTCCCTTTCCCCAGGAGCAGTGTGTACTTTGGAGGGCTGCACCATGACCCTGCAGCTACCGTGCTTCCTCTTCACAGACCGCCCTGGCCTGATGAACGTGAAGCAGGTGGAGGAGATCCAAGACAACATCCTGCGAGCGCTGGAGTTCCACCTGCAGTCCAACCACCCAGATGCCCAGTACCTCTTCCCCAAGCTGCTGCAGAAGATGGCTGACCTGCGACAGCTGGTGACAGAGCATGCCCAGCTGGTGCAGAAGATCAAGAAGACAGAGACAGAGACATCTCTGCACCCACTTCTGCAGGAGATCTACAAGGACATGTACTAAGGACCTGTTATTTATGAGAATGAAGCCATTGATTCAAGACTCTTTGTACAGAAACAAAGAAAACCCTTCCCAGTGTCTTCCATTTCTCCTACTGGAAACTCTTTTCTATGTGACCCTGACATACGGTACATAGGGCAAGATGCTGTCAGGATTTGCAGCTGCCTCCTGCTTGGCCAGGGCTTCCATTAACACACACTAATAAATCTGCAAAGCTGCTGTTCCCGTTCCTGTGACCCAGCTCTGGCTGCTCCCTCAGCGGAGCAGCTGCCCGGTTTACATGGTTCAGGCAGCAAGGTCACTGTGGCACCTCGAGTCCCCAGGGTGGGGAGCTCTGGTCCTGAGGAGTGCCAAGGGGGTGCAGGGGCCAGCGGGGCCGACAGCAGCACTTACAGTGTATTTGTGTTCTCTTGTTCATTTGCACTCCAAGGACGTGGTCCTGAGCCATGAAGTCGGGGACAGTGTGATAAAAGGATGTATCTCTCTTTCCCAAAGAAAAGCTCTGGGGTATTTGAACATGGGTAGGGCTGTCCCAGCAGAGACCCTCAGCTGCGGCCCTGCCTGTGCTCTGCAGTGTGTTCCTGTCTCCCACAGGACTGTGTGAGCTCTGCCTTCCCAGGTGCTGTGTGGGAGCCTTTGCTTCTGGCACCCTCGTTCCATAGGGAACGTGTCCCTTGGCACCTCAGTATGAGAGGCTGGGATGGGGAATTAGGAGGGAAAGGATTTGATTCCTTAAAATTCACCTTCAGAGGAGAGGCACAGAATCCATGGCTTCCACAGGCTGTTCTGCACAGATGTGAGTTAGAAAAAAAGGTGTGTGGAGGGTCAGGGGCCTTGAGCTGGTCAAGGTTTGGTGTCCTGCCTCAGTTTCCCCTCTGTGAAAGGTGCCTGGATTGTCACATGCTGTCTGCTCGGAGCAGGAGCACGAGGATCTGTTAGTGCATTGGTTGCAGAAAGCTTTGCAGCTGTAAATGCCAAGGATTTATAAGCAGGGAGGGAGGATGCTCCCAATGGGCAGGAGCTTCCCAGTGAGCATGGCTGTGTCAGGGAAGCTGCTAGTCCTCTGCCACTGTTTCCAAGAGTGTGAACAGCTCCAGGCTTAGGGGTCTGCCTGAACCCAGCAGCATTCTGGGACTTTACCTCACAACTTCTCACAGCTGTAGTGAAACACCTCGGTGCTGCCTGGGCCAGGCCAGGCCCCTGGTGTGGGGGCTGTGTCACTTGGACTTTGGGTGGACCTGGGAAGGGCTCGGTTTCCCTTTCAGGGTAATGGTGTCTCATCTAAGAAGCAACACTTCCTCATCTGCAGCTCGTAGTCCCCTGTGTCCTGAGCAGCCTTATTAAAATACTGATATTCTCCAGGAGGGGTTGTGGGAGCAAATTATTTGGTTTTATTTTACTTTCCTCCTCTTCAGGGTAGCAGATTTCCTTGGTGCAATAATTCCTTTAAAACCCAAAGGAGAAGAGCACTGGACTTTCCCTCCCCATCACAGGGCTGGCCGGTCCCAAACCTCCCCATGCTGCCACACTCCACTCCTTTTGCCGTGCCTCAGTTTCCCTGCCCAGCCCTCCCCTCCCTACCTCGCAGGAGTGTTGGGAATTACCGTTTCTGAAGCACTTTGAAGCCCTCTGGGGGAAGGCATTGGAGGCATGCGTGTGCTCGTCGGAGCCCGGGGGATTTGTCTTTCCCAAAACCCCGGTGGTGTCCCCGCCGCGGCCACAATGCAGGACTCGTGCCCATCACCTGGGAAACTTTTTGCTCTTCCTTCCTCGACAGTATAACAACCCTCAAACTGAAATGTATATTTTTGCTAGAAGTACAAACCTCCAAGTGTTTTTAATAATATAGTGTCTACAAACTGACTTGACTTTAAATAAATCAGAACTAAATATTTAAGAACCTTTTAGCGTCCAGCCTGTCTTTGTGGGATTTCTCTCAGCACCTGGGGAGAGCTGTCCGTGGGAGGATTTGCAGCAGAGGTGATGGGATTTGCTGTGATTTCCAGGGATTTGCCATGATTCATGGGACTCTGTGATGTAATTCCCATATCCTCGTACCTGCTGTGGTTTTTTTGCCTGCAAACCTAAAGCAGCAGAAAGAGCCATCCTGAGCAGGATGTCTGTCCTGAGACTGGGTGCTTCCTGCCCCAAATGCTGCGGGTGGAGGTGGAAATGAACTGAAAACACCCCGAGAAGGGAACAATGAGCTCCAGGGTGGCCAAGTGCTGGAACCTGCTCCGCCCTTGGCTGTGGCGAAACACCTGAGAATTTGCGAGGAGGGGCTGCAGACCACCCACCCCCTAAGGCTCCCCTGTGCCTTGAGTGCCCTGGGGGAAGCTGTTCACTGCACCCTGCCTTTCCCATGGAGCACATGGAGCCGTGCTGCTGGGCCGGGGACCCTGCGTGGTTACCCCAACAGGCAGCGATACATAATCCCTCCCTTCCCGGTGTGATGGGGGAGAGAACTGAGAAAGAAGTGAAATCCACAGGCTGAATTAAAGACAGATTAATAGGACTGAAAAAGAAGGGGAAATAGTAATGATTAAAGAATTAGAATATAGAGAATTTAGTGACGCACGCTGGAGTGCTGCCCCCGTCCAGGCTCCTCACTGCAGGAGCAGTGGGAGCTACAAAGTCCTTGACTCAGTGTAAACAATGCTCAGCAGCCCGGTGCTATCAGCTAGCCCGGGCTTGTCCTCCGCCCGAAACACGTGTCTGCGGCTACTAGGGCCGGCCCCGGGACTCGCTGAGGCCATAAATAGCCCCGGGAGGTGGCACAGCCCACTTCCATGCTGGGGAAGAGATAGAGCCCGTCTCGATGATGGCATCTGGGCCGCTAAGGGCCGAGGCAAGCTGTCTGAGACCGCTGTGCAGGTAAAGGCTTCCGGATGGGAGCAGCTTTTCGGGGAGATAGGCTGGAGATGGGGCTCCTCGCTGTGGGGGTAAGGAGTGGATTGGGATGGCTTTGATTCGCCCTCCCCATTTCCCCATCCCCCTCTGGAGCTGGGGGTCGGCAGCAGCACTCCAGCCAAGCCTCCCTTCCTCCCAGCCCCAAGCCAAGGGCTCCTGCCCCAGCCCTCGGGACCCCTGCTCCCCCAGGAGAGCCCCCCGGCAGTCCTGTCCTGGGCTTCCTTTGCTTTGCAATTACCCAAGAGATTAGGCTGAATGGGGCTGGGAGGACCCGGGAGCCCCCTGGCTCTGCCCTTGGCAAGGGCTCCTGAGCCCAGACACCAGCCGGGGAGCTTCCAAAATATGTCCCCACCTGAACAAAGCTGCTACCAGGTGAGACGCTAGGGCAGGGCTGGAGTGGGGTCTGACCCCAGCCACACGGCTTCTCTGGCTAACAGGAATTTTGCCCGTGGATTCTGTCGGTGGGGCCAGAGCTGCCGCTTCTCACATGACAGAAAATCAGCCCAGGTCTGCAGGTACTTCCAGCGTGGGTTTTGCCGTTATGGAGAGCAGTGCAGGTAAGGAGGGGCTGTGATGCCATGAGGATGGGCTGGGAGCCTGGAGAAGTCATGCTGGACTGATAGGACCCTCTGTCTCTGTCCCTGGGCTCCTCCAGCTACCAGCACATGCAGGAGGAGCCAGCCCCAGTAGGGACCCAGTATGGTCTGATGCCCCACGACCACTGGGACCAGGAGCCTGGCACTGAGCCCACAGCCATGGACCGGGACCAGGGGGGAACCCAGCGCACCTCAGCCCACCCTGCCTGCAGCATGACGTGTGTGGCCTCCGAGTCCCCCAAAGTGGAGGTAGAAGTGGAAGAGGAAGACAAGAAGAACATCTCAGCACTTGGTAATGTACCCTGTGGGGCCATGAGTGGAGAATTTGTTCCCACAAAAGCTCAGGGTGCCTCAGGTAGGTGCTGAGCTGGCCGGGGGACCAGCGGGGTGAAGACATTGGGGTGGTTATGGTGAAGTAGCCCGTGCATGTTTCTGCCTATAACCCACACCTGGGCCAAGCTGGGGCTGTGGAGAGCTCTCCAGTGTGGGGACCGTCACTGCTGAAGCTGCATGCTCTGAGCATCCTGCCCAGCCCTCTGAGTTTTTCCCTTCTAAGAACGTTCCTCCTGCAGGCTTCCAGCCACGAGGGCCGGCACTAGATCTGGGCTTCTCTGACCCCAGAGAGGAGGTTTTGGAGACAGCGACATGGACTGACCCTACAAAGGTGGGTTTGGGGTTTCCTGTGGCCGGGCACTCCCTGTCACCCTGTGGTGTTCCCCAAGGCCAGGGCAGCGATGGAGTCAGGGGGTTGCCGTGCTGTGCTGCTCTGCTTGCAGGTCCCTGCAGAGCCAGGTGCAGTGGCAGCCCTGGTCACCACTGCATCACTGAGAGCCCAGAGCGAGGCCATAGTGTGTGGCATCTGCATGGACAGGGTGTACGAGAAGCCGCTGCCAGAGGAGCGGCTCTTCGGGATCCTCCCGAACTGCAGCCACGCGTACTGCGTGGGGTGCATCCGCAAGTGGCGGTGCAGCCGGGACTTCCAGAGCAAGGTCATAAAGTGAGTGGGGATGGGGACATGGCAAGGTGGTCACCGTTTCCCCCTTCTGTGCCCTGAAATTCTTTCTTGGGTCTGGTGATGTGGCTTTGGGGTTGGTGTGCCTTTCCTTTGGGAACGGGTGCTTTGGGGTGGTGATGGGTATGGGGGTGCTGGATGAGGCCAGGGCAGCAGCGTGGGTGCTGGGCCCATGTTCCCTTCTTGGGACACCCAACTGCACCCGTCACCCTCATCCAGGGCCTGTCCAGAGTGCCGGATCACCTCCAGTTACTACATCCCCCACAAATACTGGATCTCAGATGTGGATGAGAAGGAGAAGCTCATCAGAACCTTCAAGGCACGGACAGGGTGAGTTCATGGCACTGCTGCGGGTGGTGGAGCTGTGGGCTCTGTGCTGCTCTGGGAGCTACACTCACAACTATGCTCGGAATCCCACAGGAAAATCAGGTGCAAATTCTTCATCCGTGGCCACTGCCCTTTCAGATCAGAGTGCATCTACCTGCACGAGCTGCCCGCCTGCCAGCTGCGGCGGCCCAGACGGCAGCGGCCGAGGATGCCCGCTGTAAGTGGGGTGGCACATCCTGGGGCTGGGCTGGGCTGGGCACTGGGAGGCTGTGGCTCATCCTCCCTCCTCTGCTGCAGGTGTTCATCCCTTCTTCCTCGGAGAGCTCTGACGAGGAGGATGAGTTCTGCACACTCGAGTGGGCTCTTACCCTGGCCATGATGGAGACAGAATTTCCCTACTCAAGTTATGGCCACGAGGTGCTTCTGATTGACTTCAGTGATTCTGACTGAGCCATGGGAGCTATGCTGGGCCTGCTGGTGGCCAGGACATGTCTCCAGGAGGTGGAAGCCTCTGCTTTTTTAGTCCTGCCACTGTTTTGGGGTGGCTCCACCGTGGGGGTGTTGCAGGGATGGGGTGGTGTAATAAGTGGAGAGTGTGATGTTGGCTCTCGCAAATGTTATAGGTTATAAGCAGTTATAAGGCTGAAAGAAGTTCTGTTAAGATCTGGTGTTTTCCTCTGTAATGTTGAAAGTTGAAGCACGAAGGACTGCACGGACTCTGAGAGGCAGGACAAAGGAGGAGCTGGGTCAGAAGAGTGACATCTGCACAAGTGTGGGGAGGGTCGGCTCACCAGGGGGCTGGCTCACCAATAACATGTATAAGGGTATAATGGGTGTGGGCAGGGTGCCTCTGGCTGCAGCTACGCACTGAGAGCGTCCCCTTTTCCTTATTCAGTTCCTTGTTGTGGTTAAATAAAACCTTTTGAAATTTTAAAAAGTGTGGTGGTGTTTCCCACACCGTGGCTATGCTGGAGACAGAATTTCCCTACTCAAATTATGGCCACGAGATGCTTCTCATTGACCTCAGTGATTCCGACTGCGCCGTGGGGGCCACGCTGGGCCTGCTGGTGGCCAGGACATGTCTCCAGGGGGTGGAAGCACGTCTGCTTTTGAGTCCTGCCATTGTTTTGGGTGTTGTGGGGGTGTTGCAGGGATGGGGTGGGATGGGGAAGCAGTCTGGCTGGCATTTATGGCTGCACCAGGGGCGACTCAGAGTATAGCCCCCTGCTCTTGTCATCGTGCCTGTGAAAAACGAGGTACACATAATTTTATAGAATTTGAAAGTTTAATAGAAAAGACAATTAGAAGAAAAAAATAAAGTATACAGATACGGCCGGGTGTGTCTGCATTCAGCCAAGAGAGCACACCTTACTGACAAAGGATTGTCCCTTAAAAACAGAATCCTACTACATATCCATAAATTCTCATACATATTCATACATTCTTCTTAGGATCTTTGGTGTTCTTCTGTTTAGTTTTCTCTTGCCCCCTTCCCAATAGATCAATCTTCTTGGCGCCATCGAGATTTACATTCCCTGATACCAGAAATGCAATAAATTCCTCCCCCCAGAGTTCTGGTCACTGCTGTCTTCATCTGGATAAGATAGTTTACAAATGCAGGAGTTTCTCTAGCTATATATATATATTGTTCTCAGTCTTTGGGTTATACAAACAAAAGCAGTTTTTATTTTAATACTATGCCATAGCCTAACATATGTATTATACTACTATTTTTAAGTTTCATCAATAACAGAAATAAAGAAAACTACATTAATACAACAAAATTTCCCATTCTTATACACATAACATTGATTTTAATATTTGCGAAAAGCCAACAATATAATATGTATCTATAACAGTGCCCATCCTGTGCCCGTGGGTGCTGGGAGGCAGCGAGGCGCTCTGACCCACGGGCCGGGCAGCAGGGGCGCTCTGTTTTAAACTTTATTTAGCCAAATCTGTGAATAACGAAATAAAACGGGTTGTGTAACTCCACGCTTCCGGGCGCCTATGATCTGTGGGCTGGGGCATCCACCCTCGAGGGGGAAGGCGGTGTTTGGGTCGGAATTGAAGAGATATTTGCATAATGAGCTCGTTCACAGCGCGGTCGATTGGCGTTTCCCGGGGGCGGGGCCGGAAACGGTGCCGTGGGGCCCGGGGGAAGCGGGGAGAGCCCGGCGGGGACGCGGTGACACCCCGGTGACACTCGTGAGTGTGCGGTGACACCCGTGTGTGTGCCCTATGTCCGGTCTCCCCGTGTCCGGCTGTCCCCTGTGTGTGTGACTGTGTCCAGTCTCCCCGTGTCCAGCTGTCCCCCGTGTGTGACCCTGTCCGTGTCTCACAGGCCGCTGTGCAGCCCCGCCGCAGCAATGGAGCCCCGGTGCCAGCCCTGGCTGCAGATCTGCCCCGGGCCGTGCCGCCTCCTGCTCCACGCTCTGTTCTCCGGCCCCGGCGGGGCGATGGCCGCACTGCGGGTGCTGCATCGGGGCCAGCCCCGCGAGGGACCGGGACAGGCATTCCCCTGGCAGGCTCTCACCGCAGCCCTGTGCGCCGAGGAGCCCTCGCTGGAGGGGCCAAAGGACACCCTGGCCGTGTGAGTTGGATACATTTCTGAAACTTGGTGTTTTGTGGGAGTTTTGGGTGTCAGGTGCGCAATTTGGGAGAGGACATCCGCTTTCCCCGGTGCAGCAGTCCATGAAGTTGGGATCATAGCAGCGACCCAATGCTGTGCCAGCTTGTGTCTGCAAAAGCTGGTGAAGCCATTAGGTGTCTCCTCTTGCTCCCTGGTGCTGTGGGACTCCGCTCCACGGGACAGGTTGGAGTCAGGACAAGGGGATTTGCTCTGACCAGTCACCTCTCCTTTTCCAGCAAGCCACGGCTGCTGCTGCTGCCCGTTTTGTGCCAGAGAAACCTCTTCTCCCTGCTCCTGGTGGTTCAGGATGTAGTGCCCGGGGATTGCCTTGACCAGCTGCTCCAGGCCTTGGAGCAAGATTCCCATGTGGATCCCTGGGTGAAGACACTGGGGAACCTACTCCAGCAGGGTGCAAGGGCAGAGGAGGGTTCCCCACATCCCACTGCCCTGTCTTCCATGTGCCAGCAGCAGCTTAGGGGCCTGTGCCAGAAAATTGCCCAGAAGAAACCAGAGGGGCAAAGAAAATTGAACTGGTGCTTCAGCAAGCAGCCTGGTGCCCCTGACTCTGCGCCTCAAGGTGGGAAGTGCAAGAAAATGTCAGAGGAGAGCCTGCAGTTGGACAGTGAGAGAGAGGGGAAGAGGTTGTTGCTGGAGGAGGTGACATTTGAGCCCCTGGAGCCCCAGGAATGTGGAGATGTAGCAGGGATGGAAGAGGAGGAGCCTTCAGGGGATGTAGCTGCTCGGAGCACAGATAAGGCTGCTCCAGACAGCTCCCAGCAAGATGCAGTTGGGGAGCTCAGGAAGATTTCCCAGACAGAGCTGGCAGTAGAGGTCCAGTCCTTTGTCCAGGTACTTTGTAGGGTTTGCTGTCCCCTTCCAGCCAGTGGGCCTTTACGGCCTGATTCCCATTCCTTCATCTCATTTCCCTCAGGTGCATGGACAGAGGCTGAAAATGCTGCTGCTGCAGGAGTCCAGTGTAAGTGGTTGATTCTGTCTCTCTCCTGGAGCTGCTGGTCTAAATGGGCTCGTGCCAGGGCCTTGGAAGGGGTGGAAAAGGAGGTGGATTTCAGAGAGCCAGCTGGATGGGGATAAAAAGGCCTGTTGGCATTTCCTCTGGGCTTGGAATACTGACATCTGCCTGCACCTTGGAGGTGTGAGGGGCTGCCTGTGGGCTCAACACTGATGGACATGGGGGGAAGGGAGAAGCCCTGGAGCTTCTGTTTTGTGGGTTGGTTTATTTGGTGCATTACTCAGCATGGTGTTTCCCTCCAGCACTGCGAGCTGCGCACCCCACCCGAGCTGAGCATCCTGAACAGCTGCTCCCCCAGCCAGGTGAACCCCAGCATCCCTGCTGCAGCTGCTGCAGGGGGCCTGCTGCTGTCCCTAATGTCCCATCCCCTCTGCCATCCCCAGCTCGAGGGGCTGTGCTCCTTCCTCCAGCTCTCCACGTGCCTGGAGCCCTTCCTGGTGCGATTCTGCAGCTGGCTGCTGGCTCTGACCCCTGACCTCAGCTACACCAGCGCAGCCATCCTGGCAGAGCATCTCTTCCTCAGGCGAGTACGTGCCAGGGCAGTGGAGGTTTCCTGCTCCCCATTTCCCCCTCCACTGTCCCCACCTCCTGCCTTTTCTGTCCCTAGGTCTTGTCCCTCACCCAGCCGCCTTCCCGACACCTCATGGCTGCCCTCACTTCATTTTGCTCCAAGTATTCCCATCCCTTCTGCCGTGTGCTGGTGGCTGCGGTGCTGCAGGAGCCTGGGGAAGGTGTGGTGGGCTGGTGGGAGGTGTGGCAGCTTCTGGGAGTTGGAGAGGGGCCCCAGCTGCAGAGTGCTGTCTCCTGGGAGGCATTTGTCATGTGGAACGGGTGTTAGGAGCCATGGAGGCGTGGGACTGCTTCCTTCTGGGCAGGTGAACACTTGGGGGTTGGGATGGGAGGTGGGTTTACAGATGCCTGAGATGGAGTGGGAGGGTTGGCTAGGCTGGCTTCTGGCTTAATGTTTCCCAAAGGACAGTTCCCACACCTCTGTGATTGGAGGGCTCCTGACAGCTCCTAATGCTCAGCCAGAGCTGCCCCAGGGTGGCTGTGCTGGTGTGAGGAGAGGGTGAACCCTTGCCACCAGCATCCCATTTTCCCAGAGACTGGTGCTGTTTAAAGCCTTGCTGCAGCTGGGCAAAGGAAGCAGGATTATCCTGAGCAGTAGAAGGGGGCACTGCATTGTTTCTGCCTGTCTTGACTGAGACATCCTCCTGTGAAGGCATGCCAGGAAGAGCCATGCACATCCCCATGGATTTGGCAGCCTCTGGAGGCTCTGCCCTGCTGCTTTGCCCTTGCAGGTGCTGAGCAGACCAAGCTGATGTGTGAGCTTGTGGAGGAGTGCCTGGAGCCACACTCTGTGCAGCTGGTGCTGAGGTGAGGGGTTACAGGGCCCACAGCTCTGCTTTGGCCTCATGCCTGCCTGGGTGGGTCCAGCTGGCTCCAGCCATTTGGAGGCACCAGCAGGGCTGTGGAGCAGCACCTTCCCTCTTCCCTGTCCTTCCAGCCAAGTCCTGGAGGTGCCTTTGTCAGAGAGACTCCTGCCAGTACTGCAGGCTGTGCTGGGGCGGCAGGTGAGGGGCCCACCTCATCCCATGGGTTTCTTTGATGCCTCCAGCAGCGCTGGAGCAAGGACCCCCTCTCCTACCTGCTCCTGGGTCTTTTCCAGGAGGTGCTTCCCCCTAAGCTTTTGGATCTCCTGGTCCTGACTCTGTGCCAGCAGGCCCCAGCCTTTGCCACATCACTCAGCTTTGCCAAGCTGGTGATGGCCGTGCTCACAGTGTACCGGAGCCAGGTGAGCGAGCCAGGCTCAGGTCCTGCAGTTCCTGGGACCCAGCCCAGAGGTCTCAGATTGGCTCCTGGTTGGGCAGCACCCTGAGCTCATGCTGCCTCCATCCCAGGTCACCCCAGCTCACCGGAGCAGTCTGGCTGCGGTCCTGGATCAGAGCAATGCGGTGCTGAAGAAATCGCTGCAGGCTGTGCTGGAGGGGGCCAGGTGAGGTGGGGACAGGGGTCCCTGTCATGGGGGATGGCAGGATCTGCACCCTGGGCTGTCCCAGGGGTGGGGAACCAGAAGCTTCCACGCATGCTGTGCCAGAGGTTTGCCAAAGCTATGTAGTGCTGTGTATGGCAGTGGCTTTCCTCTTCTTGATTTTTCTCTTTTCCCA